CACTGAAAATTCCTGGAAGCCACAGCATTGATACAAGATGGGAAATGCTCCACGATTCCACTCCCCATAAACTTTAACAAAAGGTATTCTTAGTCACTCCGCTCCAAAGTACAAAATATTGGCAACAAAATCTATTGCGAAATCTCAACTAAACCCTCTTAAAAACTTGCAAATATGTCTGGTAACACACAGCTTGTTCTGGGTTTCTTGGTAGCCAAGTACCCTCTTCAGAGACTATCCTGTCCTCTTTTTTTCTCCTTTGTCCTCATTTCAGCACTTGTTAGAATCTCTACTACAGGAAGTTTCAAGGTGAGAAAAACTGAAAGCCAAATCAAACATTTTCAGTTTTTTAAACATCTCTGCTTAAAAGCTGATGGGAGAGGGGGCGGTTGAGCACCGGCTGAAGGGATTGTAGATTTCAGTGCTGGGTGATGTTGGGGTTGTCTCCCAGCCCCATTCATGCCACCTCAAGGTTGCTTCCTTTTGTTCCTTGAAGAGTTTAGCACCCGGCTCTCTGAGCGGAGTCATTCTCTCCAAGACCACCATTGTCAGAACTGCTGACTTGAACAGTAGTTGTAAGGACTCATTCCCATTCCGAGCCCTCTCCATCCCTTTCTCCCGATCCTCTGGCCTTCCACCCTTCTCCAGCCACTCACTCCCATGGTGACACCTTGCTTTAGTTGGCCATGGCTGCCATAACAAAATACCACACACTAGGAGGCTTAAACAACAGGCATTTATGTTCTCACAGTAATGGGAGCTAGAAGTCCAAGATCAAGGCATCCGCAGGTTTGTCCCAAGACCTCTCTCCTTGGCTTGCAGACAGCTGCTTTCTTGTGGTGTCCTCCTGTGGTCTTTTCTCTGTGCACAGGCACCCCTGGTGTCTCTGAGTGTGTTCAAATTCCCTCTTCTTATAAGGACCCCAGTCAGGTTGGGTTAGGTCCCACCCTACCAGCCCATTTTAACTTCATCACCTCTTTCAAGGCCCTGTCTACAAATACAGTCACATCCTGAAGTTATGGGGATTAGGGCTTCAACATATGGATTTTTTTGTGTGTGTGTGTGAGGAAGATCAGCCCTGTGCTAACATCTGCCAATCCTTCTCTCTCTCTTTTTTTTTTTTTTTTTGCTGAGGAAGACTGGCCTTGGGCTAACATCCGTGCCCATCTTCCTCCACTTTATATGGGACGCCACCACAGCATGGCTTGCCAAGTGGTGTGTCAGTGAACCCCGGGCCGCCGTAGCGGAGCAGGTGCACTTAACCACTTGCGCCACCAGGCCAGCCCCAACATATGGATTTTGAGGAGACACAATTCAGCCTTAACATTCCTCTAGACTATGTCGTGACCAATTCCTGAAACATCTTAATCTCAAATTCCAGCATCCCACCTCTCGATCACGACTTCCTATCTTTCCAGCTCTCTCTCTCTCTGCTACCCAAAACCAATAATTCTTCAGCCATACTGGGACATACAATCTACAAATCCAACACTTTTTCACTGTACCTCACATTCTTTCATTTCCTTACTTCCCTTGTTATTCAGATTAGGTTCTACAGTCCACCATTATAATTACTCTCTTATGTATGTTCTTGATTCCTTTGCCCGTCTCTGTATGGTACTTCCCTGACAAAGTCCTAGATGAGTCCAGCTTTCTTACTCCTCCCTGCCCACCCCTCTGTGGTTGAACAGCGCTAGGAAAAACATTCAACCACGCTGTCTAGTCTCACTATAAATCCATGCCCTCAAGTGGGCCCTCAGTGCCTGCTAGTAATTCTGCCACGTTTCTCTAGACCATTCACCCTCCTACTTTCCTGGGCAACTGTCTCATCTCTTCTCCTCTCTCTGAACCTCTAACACCCTCTCCCCATCCTCATTCTCAGCTGATAAACCTGCCTCCTGTTTCACTGAGAAAACAGAAGCAATCAGAAGTTCCCACTGCCTCCAATTCCACGTGTTCTGTCTGCCTTTCTGTTACCAGGAATGAACTGCCCACGCTGCTAAGCGGCTCCTCCAACCGTGAACCCACTCTCACCCCTTCTCATTTCCCCAAGGACCCCATAGCTCCAGCAACTCTCCCCGCGCTCTCTTGCAGTGTCAGTCCCCACCTCCCCCGCCCCATCCTCCAACAAGAACATTCCCATCAGTAAACAAACATGCTATAATTTTTCCCATTAAATTGTCTCCCTTGACTGCCACTTTCCCTCCAGCTACTGCCCCATTTCTCTGCTCTCCTTCTCAGCAAAACTCTCCAAAAGAGTTACCTCTTCTACCTCCAATTCCTCTCTTCCCATTCTCTCATGAACCCACTCCAGCTGGACTCTCATGTCTATCCCACCACTAAAGCTCCTCTTAGCAAGGTCGTTAGTGGCCTCCACAATGCTAAATCAGTCGTCAATTCTCAGTCCTCCCATTGCTTGCTCTACAGGCAGCATTTGACTCCGTTGATCATTTCCTCCTCAACAAGAAACTTGACTTCCAGGATAAGCTCCTGCTTTTTCTTCTAACTCACTGGCCACTTCTCAGTCTCCTTTGCTGGCTCCCCATCATGTCCCCAAACTCAATTCATTGAACTGCCCAGGATTTAGTCCTTGGGCAACTTTTCCGTCTACACTCATTCCAGTAGTGTCTCATGGCTTTAAACACCACGTATACCATTATGACAACTCTCATATACTCCATCCCAGACCTCTTCCCTGTACTTCGTATTTGTACACACAACTGCCCACGTGGCATCTCCTCTTGGGTTTGTAATAGGTATCTCAAAACTTGGGATGCCTGAAAATGACCACCTCATCTGCCTGCTCCTGAACCTGCTCAGCCTGCTGTTCTGACCATTTCAGCTAATGACAATTCACTCTTCCAGTTGCTCTGGCCCCAAGCTGTGCAGTCATCTTTGACTCCTCTCTTCCTCTTACACCCAATCCAATCTGTCGCCAAATACTGCGGGCTCTATCTTCGCAATATATGCAGAATCCAGCCTTTTCTCACCATCTCTATGATTACTATCTGAGCCATTATCATCCATGGTAAGGCTGGATTGCTGAAATGGTTTCAGAATTCATCTTCTTTCTTTGACCCTTTACAACCTATTCACAACACAGCAGCCAGAGTGAGTCTTTTAACGTATCAAGTCATTTTTCTACTCCAAATTGGTCTTGGATATTCCCATTCTTCCCCTCCCTCGCTTGGCTCCAGCCACAGTGGTCTCCTCTCCAGGGTTCACTTCTATCTCAAGGATTTTGCACACTTACTGTTCTCTCTGCCTGGAATGCTTTTCCCCAAGTTCCCTGCCTGGCTCACACCCTCTACTTGCTTCAGATCTTTGCTCAAATGTCACCTTCTCAGCAAAGTCTTCCCTGACCACCGAGTGTGAAGTGACATCCCCAGGCCCATTCTCTGGCACTCCCAGTTGTCCTTTCCTGATTTATTTTAGCTGCAGGTATCACTACTTGATATGCTCTATGTTTGACTTACATATTTTTTATTGTGAGTCTCCCCTGTGGTGGAGTGTAAGTTCCACGAGGGCAAGGACTTTGCACTGTCTTGTTCACTGACCTCTCCCTAGCTCTTAGAACAGCACTGGACACACAGGAGGGGTGCTCAGTAAGTATTCAACCAGAAACGTTGTTGCTGTGCATCCTCCAGGGGCTCTAGTAAATGTGATTTTAAGATGCTTCTATGTCCTTGGAAAAAAAAATCTAGTGACCAGACTTAGTTGATGCATTTTGCTCAAAAACACTAGAAAAAGAAAAATCACCTCCACCAGGGGGTGCCAAGAAACCTCTTTGGAACCCGTCATAGTAGAAGATGCTAGTTTCCAGGCCTGTTTTGTTTGGATCCAAAAATGGCTCCAAGCCTCTCCATTAAAAATAAAAGCATAAGTATAATACAATTTAAAATTATTTATGTAAAAATAAGTTTTTATTCTCTTGAATTAAAAGTGTATATGTTGCAGAGTATTACTACTTTCTGGAGGACAATAACAAATTAAATATAAATATTTCTGGGATAAAAATTTTAAGAGTTCACGATATAGAACTCTTTGGGTACTGAGAGGAATAAATAAACAGACTTAACTTCTGCTCTCTGTACTATTCTGATGATTATGTTTCTATAACTGCTCTTTTTACTGTTAATGATGGCTTCCGTTTATTGCTTCCTCTTTCTTTACCACTGACACTGTGCTTTTGAGCTCATAATCTCGTTGAACACTCACATTATCCTTCTGGGGAAAGTATCATTTTTTTATTCCCATTTCACAGCTGAGGAAGTTGAGACCTAAGCAAGTTAGTCAAGCAGGGTTCTGAGGTTACCTATAGAAAAGGGTGGCAACGAGGTTGGGCACCCTGAATCTTTACCACCACTGTCTACATCATCTTTAACACGTCAGTGCCAAGATTCCCTCCCATAATCCTCTCCTTCTGTCATCATAATTAAAGGGGACCTGTGGCTCTTCAAATTTAGGGTGATTATTTGGAAGAGAGAATGCTTATATCCTTGTTTCAGACTTATTACTCCTAAAGTCTTAATCAGATCACGCAACTTCTCTTACCTCCTTTTCCTCAGCAGTAAGAAAGGTATGAATTTATTCCTCTGATTATTTGTCAGAGAGGTGGGGATAACAAACATGAACTCTTGGAAGGAAAGCTGTAGTTGTCTTGTAACACAAACTCACCAACTGTGATGTCTTGTTTTTCTCAGCCACCAGTCTGTCCCCTTTCTTGTCATTCTTGTGCCCCTTGCAGTTTGAACAATGCTTGGTGAATAGTGAGCGCACAATAAAGACCACAGAATAAAAGACAGACAAAGTCAGGATATTTGAGCAAACATACCACACACCATATCTAGTGTAAGCTCCCTGGTTAGTTTTCTCTTTAACCTCCTGTCCTCTGTTGGATGAAATTTGCCAGACTTAATTCCAAAGCGCCCCCCAACTTCCTTCTTAAAACATGCTCAGGCTTTAGTCTTTAGTGCTCCAATCCAGAGGAAAATGACTTATTTTAAAAAGCAGTAAAAACACTGCATTCCTTTGGCACAGGATGAAGACCAGCTCAGCTCTTCGGCTGTCGATCATTGTCTATTGTTCTCCAAACAGTAAAGCACTCTTTCACACCGAGAGATTGTGGGCGGCAGTTCTGTCCGAGTCTTGGGCTCCTCATGAATATGAAGTAAAGGGCTCTGACCCAGAAAGTGGTAGGTAATCTCAAAAAAAAAAAAAAAAAAAAAAAGGACAGGTAGGAAGAGAACCAGGCTTTATGTAACTCTACACTCTTGAAATCTCCTGCAGGTTCTGAGTGGGGTAAAATGGGGTCTCGGAAATGTGGAGGCTGCCTAAGTGGTCTGCTGATTCCGCTTGCACTTTGGAGTATAACTGTGAATATATTATTGTATTTCCCAAATGGGCAGACTTCCTATGCATCCAGCAATAAACTCACCAACTACGTGTGGTATTTTGAAGGAATCTGTTTCTCAGGTGTCATGGTAAGTGCAACTTTGGAGACTTGGGATGGTAGAAGGGGGAGTGTTTATTAAGAAGTGCCGTGTTCCTAGTACAAATAATGAGTAATGGCAAAGTCAGTCTACTAATGCTGGGTTTGAGGTTTGGCCGACGGGTGGGGTGGAGGGGCAGGCGTCTGCTGGGACTTGGAGAGGAGCTTTGTTTTTGGTGAGAGCTGCTTATTTGTGCAGCGTCAGCAATGCGGGAGGTTTGTGGGACACTGGCCTGTAGAAGTATTGTGTCCTCAGGAGCCCCTGTGTCAATTTAAGCTGTCTGATCCCCAGTGGCTTTGCTCTTTTCCAGAACAGATTTTCTATCTGCACTCATGGTTTCTCTAGCGTGGAGGGGTATTTAGACGGAAGGGAAAAAGCAGAAATGGGATTCAGACAAACTTGCATTCAGATCTAAGCTCTGTCATTTGTGCCATGAGACCTGGAGCAAGTTTCTCAATGTCTTTGAGCCTCAGTGTCCTCGTGTTAAAAATGGGAATAATGATGTTTACTTTTCAGGGTAATTGTGGGGATTAAATAAAATCTCGTGTATGAAGCCCAGGACAGAGACTGACATGTAGTTCGCAGCCAGTGACTATCGTGGTTATAAATGCTTGTTGAAGGATGCCATATCATCATTATACAGTCTGATATTATACCCGAATAACGGAGGATGTTTTTGAAAACTAAATCCCAATTATCCACAGTGAAAATCCATGAATGTTTTCGTGATGACTTTGTGCTCTTTAAAAATAAACTGATAGTGAATCATGCTGGCAGCTCAGAGGAAAAGACACTTTTCCTGATCAGATCATTTCTAAAAACAACACATTGTGTGCTGTAAGCTGACTATGCCCCCAACAATGTAAAAGAAAATCCATTTTAAGCTATTTCTATATCTTTGTGGGTGTTTAATTATTACAATATTTGAATAGCTATGTTGAAAAGTAGTTTTCACTTTGTTACCATTTTGCATATTACATTAGTAAACTTTAAAATATTAATACCCAATGCTATTGAAGCTGCTATGTGTTAGGTACATAGCAAACATTGGTGGTAGTTCTATAAATAAATGCAAACTTCTGGAAGAAGATTCTGAAATGATACGTTAAGAACCATGAAAATGCTATGTCTTTTGACTCAGTAATCCTAAATCTGAGAATTCATTTTGAGGAAATTACCCAAAATAAGGAAAGAGATGTATACCCAGATGTTTGTGGCAGCATTATTTATAATAGTAAATTACTAGAAGCATCTTAGCATAGAAGTGGCCAAATAAATTATCATACATTCACTTCATACAATGATGAAAAGTGTAATTATGAAGATGTAACAACATGGAAAACTAATATTATTTTGTGTTACATGAAAAAAGATATAACAAAACTGTGAAAAAATTATGCAACTATGTAAAAGGTGCACGTGTGGGAAACCACCGGGGTTAAATACATAAAACCATGTGAAGGTGGTGGATTTTCCATTATTCTTGAGCCCTCAGTATGGCAGTTAAATTCGACAGCAAAAGAAGAAAGCAGTTTCTCTTTCAACACAGGCTATGCCCGTGTTTCTGTTTTGACCCTGGACTCCAGGGTCTAGGTCTAAGTGTTTCTACCGACATTGTGGTGAAGCCGGTTACTACACCTGCTCTACTGTGCCTTATCTCCCCACTGTTCCCCAGTGTGTAATTGTAACAGGTTCTAGGAACTTTTGCCATAAGCATCATTGCCGTAGACATCTTTGTTGCAAGCATCTTTGCTGCGTAACTAACTGTCCATAAGGCAATTTTGCCATGAAAGGTAAAATAACTGGTTGTCAGTTTGGTTTGACTCCATTTTTATATGATACCCCCACTTTTACAACAAACATGTGACAATATGCCAAGAACAAACAACAGTGTAGAAGGTTTTCACAGTGCAATGTAAAATTCAGTTACAAATATGCATCTTAGTATTTGGAAAGTGATACCTCTCTTAATAAAGAAAGAAATTTTAGCAAAAAGGAAAAAGTGCGATGGATGCCAAACAAGGAGACGAATCAATAAGCTAAAAAAATATATATATAATACTATGAACAAAAGACTTCAATGACAAGTGCTTAGGTACAACCCACAAAATAAAATCAGTTATTTGTGGAGTATTGTCATGAATCTACACACATTTTAAATGTATTCAAATATTTTGTATTGCACAATAAAGTCTTTTTAATTTTGTTGTTCGTTTTTCATGTTTCATTACGTCAATTTAAATGTCTTCTTTTATTTTTCATTATTTTATCTTTTATGGCAAAATTGCCTTATGGCCAATTAATTATGCAGCAAAAATGCTTGTGACAAAGATGTCTACCGCAAAGGTGCTTATGGCAAAAATACCGGACACATTGATTTGACAGTACAAGCTGTCAAACCAGTGAAAGAGTGCAAGGCATTAATAAGGTCAAATCATAATCTATTAAAATCTCTATAGATAATATGATCTGTATAGATAATATTATAATATAATTTATAATAATAAATAATGGTGTTGAAGGGAGGGGAATGTAGGACTCATTTGTTTACATTCCATGTAAAATTTAAAATTCAAGAAAGAACTGTTCTCTATTTCTCATCGTCTAAGATTCATTATTGTTACTGCATCAAATACTTTTAGGAGAAAGGAGGGGAATATAGTTAAATAATTAAATGGATAAATCAATAAATGAAGGCGGAAGGAATTTGGAACTGGAACTATTAACTACAAACAGTAAAATAACAATGAACTCAGCTTCAAGATTCAGTACTGAACAGTGGAAGTAAAGGATAGGTGGAGAATTTGCCAGAAGCGATTCACTGTCCATACTTGCCCCAACCAGGAATTATAATAGCCAAGAAATCCATGTTCTTTCCAGAACTTGAGCCCTTTGCCTAAGGTACCAAGAAAGGGAAGTAGAATACATTGAATTCTCCCAGTTTGTTGGCTTGACACTAACAGAACAGTCTGGAAAATTTGAACCTGAGGCGGTTTGAATGCATGGGGAAATTGAACTTACTTTACTTTGAATTAAGGGATGTGGTTTCACGTTAATCATGCCTCTCACCTGCGTTCCCAGATGGCAGTAAATGGAGAGAGGCTGGTGAACTGCAAAGTCTGGTGAATGATTTTCCTTTGCTGTCCACAACTGAGTCAGTGAGAAATGCAGGTTTGCTGCCCAGGGTGGTATTCCCATGTCCATACCATTTACTTTTCCTTATTTATTAGCTTTTGATGACTGACAGCCATGATAGTAATAGCTAACACCTATCGATCACTTACTATGAATCAAGCGCTATATTTAAATTTTTGCATCCAAAGTTCATAACAACCCAATGAGATGAGTTCTCAACACCATTTTACAGGAAGGACTCTCAAGTTCACACAGCTAAAAAGTGGCAGAGCTGGGATTCGAACCCAGATCTACTTCACCCCTGAGTCTATGCACCAAATCACTGTGCTCTGATTATGAGCATGAGTGTAAACTAGTATTCCATTGCTGATATTCTCTCTCTTCTCTGCTATAGATGCTTATAGTAGCAGCAGTTCTTCTTGTCCTGGAGAACGGTAACAACTATAAATGTTGCCAGAGTGAAAACTGCAGCAAAAAATACATGGTAAGAGCGATAGTTTTTTGAGGATGCTTGAAGTGAGCTCCAGCTTTCTTCTCTGTCACCCCAAACCGCAAAAATATTGACACTGTCATACCCTCATCATGATCCTTTCAGTTCAGAGTCTAAGAGTTTACTCCAAAAATTATCTTACATTTTGTTTACAGTCTTTCCTCCACCTTTGTTCTGCTGATGTTCTTCCAGAAATTCAGGATTTAAAGAGACATGAAATTGGAAAATAATACTACCTTTTCCTAACTGGGTGTATGTGAATCTATTTTTTTCCCTTATCGAATTTATTGAGGACTAATTTACATACAGTAAATGGCATTCATTAAAAGTGTACTATTCCGTTGAATACACCCATAAAACCACCATCACAATCAAGACACAGAACATTCCCATCACTCCAAAGAGATTAATCTTTGATCTGCTTTTTGTCGTCATAGATTAGTTTTTATTTTATATCAACAGAATTATACAGTATTTGTCTTTTGTATCTGGCTTCTTTCACTCAGTGTAATGATTTTTAGATTCATCCATGTTGTTGGGTATATATGATGTACATTTTTTAAACTGGAACTTTAAAAATAGTTAAAATAGAATCAAGAGAGAATAATAGAATCAGATATTCTAAGTCTATGCTCACAGGTGGGTGCCGGGCTCCCACGTTTCCACCATTATCACCCTCTTCCTCCTCGTCCTCATTGTTTATTCATATTTGCGTAGCACTTCATAGTTCTTCCACATTTACCCAGTGAGTTAGATCGTTGTTACTCTTATTTTACGTATAAGTCACCTGTGGATCACAGAGAACATGCGATTTATCAACTAGGAGGAGCTTGACCAGAGGTCTGGTAGGCATCTTTGTGGCAGTGGTTTCATAGTTTGGCTGCACGTTGCAATCCTCTGGGAGCTTGCAGTCAGAATCCCACTCCCAGACACTCTGACTTGCTGGTCTTGGTGCAACCAGATTTTAATGGCTGGCTGAGATGGGATGGCTAGCTTTCTTTGACTGATACCTCTGGAAGAGTAAATTAGTGGCTTAATGTGGCACTGTGCCCCTGGCGGAGAAGAATTGAAAAACTGAAATACACTGTGTGCATGCACAAGAGTGTGTGTGTGTGTGTGTGTGTGTGTGTTTTCTTAACCGGTTGACTCAGACATCCCCCAGTAGTAGCTTTCAAAATTGCCTAGATGAAGCGATGGGTTCAGGTAAACTTTAAGCTATGAAACTCAGGGAATTTCTAGAAAACAAATGTACGTGCCAATAAAATTTACCTTAACTCACTATTAGCATCTCCAGCACAAATGGATGCTAGAAATAGTCTAGAGTCTGAACAGGGTCTTATAATCAACATTGAATGAGATGACTGAGATCTCAATGGGAAGAACAGGAGGGAAGGAAGGAGGATTCCTTGGATTTCCTGCTTGGCTCTTTCAAGGTAGGCTCTAGAGTAGGCGTCACTACTCATATGCGCCCAGGAGCCAAATACCTGATGGAAAGGAAAGGAGTGAGCTTGGTGGGCGTTAGAGCAAAATTTCCATTTAAGGAAGGGAGGAAGCTGTTACTCAAGTCCAGCCAATTGTTACCATGATGAAATTGGGCAACATTTCTCAGTTTTCAATAAAAAGTAGAAATAAGGATTTTTGTGTAAAACTTCTCAACTATAAAAGGTTGGCAATTAATTCTCATTTAAACTAAATAAAGCACATCTTGCAGGCCAAATTTGAGTCCGCACCAGTTTGTAACTTCTGAAGCTTCGAAATGGAAATTGAGGTCACCCAAGATTCACTTTTTTAGCAGGAGAAAAGTTGACCTTCTTAGGGTCCCTGGCTGGGTCTGAAAATTTAACTGACGTGAAACAATTAACAGGAACAAAGCATACAAATTTAATCGAATTTTTACATGTACTTGGGAGACTTCATATGAGAATGAAGACTTGAAGAAGTGACCAGAGCAGCAAGCATCTATACATTTTAGACAAAGAAACAATAAATTTGTGAAGAATTGGCAAAACAGAGAGGTTTGGACTAGGGGTAATAAATGGTGGAGTAACTAGGAAGATAAGGGTTACTTTAACAAGGTTTGTTTATACGGATTTCTTAGTCCCAAATTCCCTGACTTTGGTGATAAGAATGTCTTTTTTCCTCCTGGTACAGGGAGGGTACATTTCATATGGGAGCTTTATGACTTGTTTCAGAGAAGAAAGGTCGGGGGAAGGTCAGAGTGACCTTCCTGCTTCTGCTGCTTTCTCAGACTCCTTCAGCTGAAGATATTCAATATGCCAAGATGCCATAGTTTGGGGTAGTGTGCCCTGAACCCCATCAACTACTTGGTTGCTATCCATTCCTCTGTGGAGTCTCATCTTCTGCCAAAATTCTGTGGGCTGTTATTCTTGGAAAACAAATATTGGCCAAGTAAAGGCACTTGAAATAATAGGTAATATTTTGATTTTGCTTTATGCTCAAATAATTTTTATATCCATTATGTCCTTTAATTTTTGAAATAGCCCTGTTATGTAGGTGCTTTAATCATCTATGTCATCTACATTTTACAGAAAATGAAACTGTGACTCAGAGAGACTCTTATTCCCATTGTATTTTGTGGCTAACCCCACTTGTGCAATGGTATATATCACGAATTACACTGTAACTTGTGTATGTGTACATATGTATGTGTTATGTTATGGTTGCCCATTTCCCCAAATGACGGAATTCTTCACTGCTCTACTCAGTGAACTGCTTAAGAGTACATTTGGTGAACAAGGAGCTCAATCTTTTCAAAACATCCTTCTTCCTTTTCTAAAGATGGCATTGGTGAATAGGTGAATTTTCTTTATAAAGTGTGCTAACAGTAATCTACTAAAAAAAAAGTAGCTCTGTTTATCTCATCTTGTGATGAGATTAAAATCAATATGAGAAATGTAATTCGAAGGAGCTTTTAATCATATGTGAAGATGCCAATGAAGTAATTAATAACAAATAGGAAAAAAAGCAGAATTGTTCTTTTTTTCTTTGTGTTTTTAAAATATTTTTTCCAATTTTCCATAATGAGCATGTATTGATGTTATAATCAGTAAAATAACTTTAAACAAAGAAATATAATTTGAGGACTTGCCTGGTGGTATAGTGGTTAAGTTTGCATGCTCCGCTTCGGCGGCCCAGGCTTCGCAGGTTTGGATCCCTGGCGTGGACCTAGACACCACTCATCAGGCCATGCTGTGGCAGCATCCCACAAACAAAATAGAGGAAGATGGGCTCAGATGTTAGCTCAGCGCTGATCTTCCTCAGCAAAAGAGGAAGATTGGCAACAGATGTTAGTTCAGGCCAATCTTCCTCACCAAAAAAGAAAAAAAAGAAATAAATATAATTTGGGATATCTTTTGTTCCTAAAATCACAAGTTTGTTGTTCTCGCTTTTTTTGGTCTGAGCTTTTGAATTTATCATCAACTGGCTACTGCATGTTTCTGTTTGGCTGTCTTACTCTCACATGAAATCAACATTTCTAAAACTAAATTAAAATTTTTCCCAAACCCAACTACCCTTCTTGGCATCCTTATTCTGTCTCCTTTTCATCCAAGTCCCAAACTCTGGAATTTTTTTTTTCAGTCTGTTTCCAGGTACTCATTTCCTCCTTAATGACTTTTCCTCCAGTGCTTGTCTTTGTCATCTCAACTTGAAGTTGTCTCCACTGGGAACCCTTATTTTTTGGGCTCTCTCACTTCCAGCTGGTATGCCACCACTGCCAGAGCAATCTTCCAAAATCATTTGTCGGTCGTGTCACTTCCTTGTTCAAAAACCAATTGCATGGTTTGAGGAAAAAAGAGTCTATTCCAGGTGTCAGGCAGCGTAAATTCAAAATGAACTTGGGACATCTTGGTCTGGGAAGCAAGGGAGTGTTCAAAGAAGGATGAGGATATGTTAAAGGGCACAAGAATTGACTTGAAGGGATGTTCCCATTGGCCATATTTGGACCATCTGAGCATCTAAAAGAATAATAACAGTTATGAATTATAACACATTGAACTAGAAAATCCATGAGTCCACAATAATATGGAAAGAGAGAGGCAGAAGAGAGAGAAACGGGAATTGGAAGTTCCTCTGTGTAGAAAAATGATAGCACATGAATGCAGAAGGAATGATAGAATTAGAAAGGCAGCGCACTGCAACCATTATTGTGATAATTGGTGACCAGCGGATATGTGGATCATCAGTGGAGGCTAAGTCACAAGCTGAAATGTCTTTAGGGAACAGGACATGACACAGGCTCGAAGTATCACCTCACAAATTATGTGCCAATCGCAAAGTGGAAAATGTATGTTTGCAGATCTGAAGGAAACCACCTTAACCAAGAGATCAAACTTAGCATCACCAATAGCAGTGAGCAGCCCACAAAGTCCCCACGCCAATCAAGTGTTCTTGCCAAAATGTTTAACCCAAGTCCAATAGTGAAGAAACAACCAGAAAAGGCCAGAAAGTGGGACTCTCTACAAGACAGCTGGCTGGGATTCTTCAAACACAACTTAATATCCTGAAAAACAAAAAGGCAGTGAGATTAGAGTAGATTAAAGGAAACTAAAGAGATATAACCTTGTGCATAAACCTTCATTGGATCCTGTACAAAAAAAGTAAAAAACAGCTCCAGAATAATAGAATATCCTTATTCTTGGGAGATAGGTACTGATGCATTTAAGGGTAAGAAATCATAATGTCTGCAACCTACTTTCAAATGGCTCAACCACAAAAATATGTAAATAAATAAATAAATATATAAATATGTATACACAGAGGCGGGGGGGAGAGAGAGAGAGCAAAAACGGTAAAGTAGTCACAAAAAGTGAGTCTAGGTAAAGGGTATATAGGGGTTCACTGTACTATATCTTCAATTTTTTTGTAGATTTGAAAAATCTTTAATAGAAGGTTATGGGGGGAAGCCACTTGCCCTGAAGGATGAAGTCCAGCCTCGTTGACCCAGCATTCAGGGCCGTCTTCTGACCAGATCTGCCAAGCTGCACTCACTTTGCACGCGACTCAAGGGACAGATTGTGTCCTAGCAACACTGTTTCCCCAGCAACAGCACTGTGTCAATCTGGCCCTCGTAAACCTCCCCCTCTACTCTTCTGCAGGAACCCCCCTTATAGCAAACCAATCTACTTACTCTCACAACTCGGCTCGTACCAGTCTGCCAGTGAACATTGCTCATTTGCTCTAATCAAATGAAAACAGCCTCCTCCCCATCAATCCCATCCTCACCTGAATATAAATATGACCATCTAGGCTAACACCTGATATTTCTGCACATACTGCTGTATGTGAAGCTAGCCAAATATCATCTTCATAAGAGAAAAGCAGGGATCATAGCTTGTGATTCTCAGCAAACCCACCCTACCTAGAAAACAACATCTTCAATAAATAAGTATAGACTGATTGATCACATCCCTTCACTGCATTTACATATGAGGTGATTATTATTTTGATATCAAAATTCTGGAAAAATAGAAATTTAGTAAATTAACTAGTTTCCACTGTGGAATGTCAAACAAAAAGTCATTTAAGAACTTATTTTTGAGACCAGGTGGGTTTGGATTAAATGCTTCCGTTTCTACGTGGACATTCGGTATCACATAAATGGCATTTGGCCTGGATGAGGAGGGAAGGTACCTATCTGATCATCTACCCACAACATCCCCTGTCTCATTCTATGGCACTAACCTCCTTCTTCTATGTTTAATTTAGACACTGCTGTCGATTATCTTTTCTGCCCTTGGAATTGCTTTCTCTGGATACTGCCTGGTCATATCTGCTCTGGGCCTTGTCCAGGGCCCCTACTGCCGCACCCTCGATGGCTGGGAGTATGCCTTTGAAGGCACTGCAGGACGGTAAGGTCTAATTCCCCGAATCGAGGAGGCCAGAAAGTCAGAAACACGTGGCTTCACGCTCATGCTCATTTTCCATGATCACTTTGGGGTGCCACGTGGCTACCTTAGTGCAGAATTTTCCTATTACTTTACTAATATCCAGACCAATATGTTCCTGCACAGATCTTTGTTTAGGTGTCTTTCCTCCAGTCTAATGACAGGTGCATTCATTATTTTGAGACAGTCCCGGAGCTATCCAAATGAAAGCCGTGCTTGTCCCACACTTCAGAACAGGACCTCGTGGTGGCCGTGCCCTGCCAAATGTTGGAGCCTGGGACTTGAGTGGTTCTGGGAAGTCAGCCTTGTTTTGTGGCCAAGTTGGACATGTGGTCTCTTACAGATGTGAAAGAGCATGGTTGGGAGAGAATCACAGTGCCCTTAGGTGGTGCCACCTGGGGTGACACCGGCAGGGGCTACACAGAAAGAACCAGGCAGGGTGGGCAGCAAAGTGCGATCTGAGATCTAGGGATAGGAACCAGGTACAGGAGTTTGTGGAAGGAGCCAGGAGCTCATCCAGCATGTACTGAAGAAGAGTCTAGGGAGGTGCCTTGCTCAGAAGGCTGGTGGTTCAGTCAGGTGTTGAGGGACCCGATCCTGGATGGCAGAATGTCTCATACCGGCTCTGGGCTGGGCTTATTGGCCTAGCACCTGCAGAGGCAACTCGAGAGGTAGCAGGGCCCAGATAGAGATACGGGAGAGGGCCACTGAATCTCTCCCTGTCCTGTCCCGTGCTCAGAATACTAATAGAATAAAATGAGGGGTGTCTGTACCATTCCCTGGGGAAGTTACATTTTCTCCTCAACTCCCCATGACTGATTTTATTGTTCAAGACCCACATCTATTTGAGGTCTTACATGCTCACCTAGGCCTGCATGGCAGAGCTGCTTCTGTGCCCACAGCTGCCTTTATTCTGAATCTTCCACAGGTGTCACATGCTGTGAACAGAGCTCTCCCTCAGATCAGGAGAGCCTAGGAAATAACCCCAGGCCTTTCTGAGCATGTGGGGGAGTCACTCCTGTGAGATTGAAGGGGCTCTGGGAGGGGAACCTGATGTAGAAGTCCTTTTTTATGCCATCAGTCCCTCAAATTTTCCCCATAACAAACCAAAGAAGCCTCTCCTTGCAATGCAAGAATCTCAGGCTGCCCGCGTGCCTCTCCATTCCTCCCTTAAGTTGCCCTTGATATTTGAATTCACCTGTTTCCAGCTTCATTTAAATTTTTGGAGGTGAAACACTGTTTGGAGACCACAAAGGGAAGCTAAGTCTCTGGTCTCCTAGAGAAGTTTCCAAGGCTTGGCAAATTCCAGGTGGAGCAGGTGTTATTATTAAATTTGTGCAAATCATCTATTCATTTGTACGTTTATTCAACCATTTATTGAGCATCTACTCTGTCCAGGTCTTGGACCAGGTGTTAGAGAATCGAAGATAAATTACGCAGGCTCACTTCCCTCTAGGAACTCACAGAGACCTGACAGAACATTTTCCTGAGATGGAAGCCTTAGAGGGAACATGCCCTTGGAGCACAGGTCTTCGATGCTTATAGATCTGGATTCAAGTCACCTGTCTCCTACTTGAAACTGTATGACCTTAGACAGACACCTGGATATCTCTGAGCCTCTATAAATGGAAATAATAATCATTTCTGCCTCACGGAATTGAAAATTAAATGGAAGTAATGCACAAATTAGATTTAATAAATTCTCAAGACATGCCAGATTTTATTATTAACATCATTACCTTCATAACCCTTTATGCCACATGGTATCCTCCGTCTGCCAGGTAGCCAGCAGATCCAGCCACTGGCATGGTGACCCATGAGGACCCTGAATCAGTTTCATTCAACAAGCACTTGTTGATCTTTGCAATGTGCCGGCACTGCCTTGGTTCTTAGACCTGCTATGCAGAGATAAATAAATCACAGTCAGTGCTCTCAGAGCACACAATTTGGTGAGAAAATAGATACAGATACAGATAGGGATAGAATTACAACACAGTGAAGTAAATTCTGTGATAGAGCTGTGTATGGAGGTTGTGGGCGGAGTGGGTGTCGGAGCAAGCTTCTCTGTTCCTTCCAGACCCTGCCAGTGCACTTATGACTCTCCGTGGTTTGCAAGAAGAATAAATAGTAACATAGCCTGGGAGGAAAATAGAAACTCTGCAAGTCATCCTGCTTCAAAGTGTTGGATAATCTGTGCAGAGCATGTCCTAGGAACAGTCTAGAGTTAGGATCTTGAAGAGATTCGGTTTCCTGGTGGCTGGGACTGAGTTAGGAGGATGAGGGTGTAGGAAATGGGTCTGGGGCAATGGTAACAGGAAATTATATCTGTATTGTGCTTCACAGGATCCAAAGCATTTTTAAACACCTCTCACCGAATATTCACAATAACCCTAGAGTTAGATATTTTAAGCCCATGTCCAGATAAGACTCTAGAGGCCAGAGAGGTAAAGTCTCTTGCCCAAGATCCTACAGATCCAGGAGTTATGACTCTGTGTTCAGAGGTCTTTCCCACTCGAGACCTAAGGGCCATTAGCAATATCAATAAATTCTCAGAATGCCTCTGAGTGTCCTAAAGCAGAGAAAGTAGGAAATAAAGAAAAAGAGCAAAGAGAAAGTTAAAAGAGGAAAAGTAATAGGAGAGAAATGGATGGGAGAGAAAGAAAAACAAAGAAAAGAAAGAGGTCCTGGTGGTGGTGGTCACCGAAATGCAAAACTCACCCGTTTCTGCCAGGGGCACCAATGCCCAGGGCCACTTGGTGGGTATGCAGGGTGCCTGAATCACTGTTTTGAGAAAAAGCATCTTGCTATTGACAATATATTTACAAGCAACTCTGCCCTGAAAATAGGATTGATTGTTTTTGTTTGGGGGATTTTTTTTTTATTGATGTCATAATAGTTTATAACATTGTGAAATTTTAGTTGTACATTATTGTCAGTCACCATATAAATGCAACTCTTCACCCCTTGTGCCCACCTCCCAACCTCCTTCCCCCGGTAACCATCAAACTGTTCTCTCTGTCTCTCTGTGTGTTATTTTATCTTCCCCATATGAGTGACATCATGCAGTGTTTGTCTTTCTCCGTCTGACTTATTTCGCTTAACATAATACCCTCCAAGTCCATCCATGTTGTTTCAAATGGGACAATTTTGTCTTTTTTATGGCTGAGTAGTATTCCATTGTGTGTGTGTATATATATATATATATCTCACATCTTCTTTATCTAACCATCAGTCAAGGGACACTTGGGTTGCTTCCACTTCTTGCCTATAGTGAATAATGCTGCAATGAACATAGGGGTGCATAAGCCTCTTTGGATTGTTGATTTCAGGTTCTTTGGATAAATACTTAGTAGTGGGATAGCTGGACCATAAGGTATTTCTATTTTTAATTTTTTGAGAAATCTCCACACTGTTTTCCATAGAGGCTGCACCAGTTTGCATTCCCACCAGCAGTGAATTAGGGTTCCTGTTTCTCCACAGCCTCTCCAATATTTGTTATTTTTTGCCTTGGTGATTATAGCCATTCTAACAGGAGTAAGGTGATAGCTTAGTGTAGTTTTGATTTGCCTTTCCCTGATGATTAGTGATGCTGAACATCTTTTCATGTGCCTACTGGCCATCTGTATATCTTCCTTGGAAAAATGTCTGTTCATATCCTCTGCCCATTTTTTGACCGGGTTGTTTGTTTTTTTGTTGTCAGTTGTGTGACTTCTTTATATATTATGGAGATTAACCCCTTGTCAGATATATGATTTCGAATATTTTATCTCAGCTGGTGGGTTGTCTTTTCATTTTGATCCTGGTTTCATTTGCCTTGTAGAAGCTCTTTAGTCTATGAAGTCCCACTTGTTTATTTTTTCTTTTTTTTCTCTTGTCTGAGTAGACATGGAATTTGAAAAGATCCCTCTAAGACTGATGTCAAAGAGTGTACCGCCTATGTTTTCTTCCAGGAGTTTTATAGTTTCAGGTCTTACTTTCAAGTCTTTGATCCATTTTGAGTTAATTTTTGTGAATGGCAATAGCAGATGGTCCACTTTCATTCTTTTGCATGTGGCTGTCCAGTTTTCCCAGCACCATTTATTGAAGAGACATTCCTTTCTCCAGTGTATGCTCTTAGCTCCTTTGTTGAAGATTAGCTGTCCATAGATGTGTGGTTTTCTTTCTTTTTTTTTTTCTTTGAGGAAGATTAGCCCTGAGCTAAAATCTGTTGCTAGTCTTCCTCATTTTGCTGAGGAAGATTGGCCCTGGGCTAGTATCCTTGCCCATATTCCTCTACTTTATATGGGACACTGCCACAGCATGGCTTGACAAGCAGCGATCTGCACTTGCGATCTGAACCTGCAAACCGGGGGCTGCCAAAGCAAAGCATGTGAACTTAACTGCTACACCATGGGGCTGGCCCCCCGTAGATGTGTGATTTTATTTCTGGGCTTTCAGTTCTGTTCCACTGATTTGTGTGTCTGTTTTTGTACCACTACTATGCTGATTTAATTATTTAAAACTACTTTGTAGTATATTTTGAAGTCAGGGATTGTGATGCCTCCAGCTTTGTTCTTTTTTCTCAGGATTGCTATAGCTATTCGGGGTCTTTTGTTGCCCCATATGAATTTTAGCATTCTTTGTTCTATTTCTGTGAAGAATGTCATTGGGATTCTGATTGGGATTGCATTGAATCTGTAGATTGCTTTAGGTAGTATGGACATTTTAACTATGTTTATTCTTCCAATCCATGTGCATGGGATATCTTTCCATTTCTTTATGTCATCATCAATTTCTTTTAATAATGTCTTATAGTTTTCATTGTATGGGTCTTTCACCTCCTTGGTTAAATTTATTCCTAGATATTTTATTCTTTTTGTTGTGATTATAAGTGGGATTGTATTCTTGAGTTCTCTTTCTGTTAGTTTGTTATTAGAGTATAGAAATGCAACTGATTTTTGTAAGCTGATTTTGTACCCTGCAACTTTGCTGTAGTTGTTGATTATTTCTAATAGTTTTCCAATTGATTCTTTAGGGTTTTCTAATATAAGATCATGTCGTCTGCAAACAGTGAGAGTTACACTTCTTTGTTGCCTATTTGGATTCCTTTTATTCCTTTTTCTTGCCTAATTGCTCTGGCCAAAACCTCCAGTACCATGTTGAATAAGAGTGGTGAGAGTGGGCACCCTTGTCTCGTTCCTGTTCTCAGAGGAATGGCTTTCAGTTTTTCCCCACTGAGTATGATGTTGGCTGTGAGTTTGTCATATGTGGCCTTTATTGTGTTGAGGTACTTTCCTTCTATACTGATTTTGTTGAGAGTTTTATCATAAATGGATGTTGAATCTTGTCAAATGCTTTCTCTGCATCTATTGAGAGGTTCTTGTGGTTTCTATTCCTAGTTCTGTTGATGTGGTGTATCACATTGATTGATTTGCAGATGTTCAACCATCCCTGTGTCCCTGGTATAAATCCCACTTGATCATGGTGTATGCTCTTTTTAATGTATTGCTGTATTCAGTTTGCCAATATTTTGTTGAGGATTTTTGCATTTGTGTTCATCAATGATATTGGCCTGTAATTTTCCTTCCTTGTATTGCTCTTGTCTGGCTTTGGTATCAGGGTGATGTTGGCCTTGTAGAATGTGTTAGGAAGTGTTCCATCTTCCTCTATTTTTTGGAATAGTTTGAGAAGGATAGGTATTACATCTCCTTTGAATGTTTGGCAAAATTCTCCAGAGAAGCCATCTGGTCCTGGACTTTTATTTTTGGGGAGGTTTTTGATTACTGTTTCAATCTCTTTACTTGTGATTGGTCTATTCACATTCTCTATTTCTTCTTGATTCAGTTTTGGGAGATTGTATGGGTCTAAGAATTTATCCATTTCTTCTAGATTGTCCAACTTGTTGGTATATAGTTTTTCATAGTATTCTCTTATAATCTTTTGTATTTCTGTGGTATCTGTTGTAATTTCTCCTCTTTCACTTCTAATTTTATTCATTTGAGCTTTCTCTCTTTTTTTCTTAGTGAATCTGGCTAAGACTTTGTTAATTTTGTTTCTCTTCTCAAAGAACCATCTCTGTTTCATTGATCCTTACTATTGTTTTTTTGGTTTCAATTTCATTTATTTCTGCTCTAATTTTTATTATTTCCCTCCTTCTGCTGACTTTGGGCTTTGTTTGTTATTCTTTTTCTAATCTATTAGATGTAGTTTAAGGTTGCTTTTTTGGGCTTTTTCTTGTTTGTTAAGGTGGGCCTGTATTGCTATGAGTTCCCCTCTCAAGACCGCTTTTGTTGCATCCCATATGAATTGGTATGGTATATTTTCATTTTCATTTGTATCCAGATATTTTTCAATTTCTTCTTTAATTTCTTCAACGATCCATTTGTTGTTCAGTAGCATGTTGTTTAGTCTCCACATCTTTGTCCTTTCCCAGTTTTTTTCTTGTAGTTGATTTCATAGGATTATGGTCGGAAAAGATGCTTGTTATGATTTCAATCTTTTTAAATTTATAGAGACTTGCCTTGTTTCCCAACATATGGTCTATTCCTTGAGGATGTTCCATGTGTGCTTGAGAAGAATGTGTAATCTGCTGTATTTGGATGGAGTGCTCTATATATAGCCATTAAGTCCATCTCGTCTGGTTTTTCTTTCAAGTCCACTATTTCCTTATGACTTTCTGCCTGGATGATCTATCTATTGATGTAAATGGGGTGTTAAGATTCCCTACTGTTGTTGTGTTGCTGTTAATGTCTCATTTTAGGTTTGTTAATAGTTGCTTTATGTACTTTGGTGCTCCTGTGTTGGGTGCATATATATTTATAAGTGATATCTCTTCTTGGTAGAGTGTCCCTCTTATCATTATATATTGCCCCTCTTTGTCTCTCATTACTTGTTTTATCTTGGTCTACTTTGTCTGATATAAGTATGGCAACACCTGCTTTCTTTTGTTTGCCATTAGCTTGGAGTATTGTCTTCCATCCTTTCACTCTGAGCCTGTGTTTGTCTTTAGAGCTGAGATGTGTTTCTTGGAGGCAGCATATTGTTGGATCTTGTTTTTTAATCCATCCCGCCGCTCTATGTCTTTTGATTGGAGAATTCAATCCATTTACATTTAGAGTGATTATTGATATATGAGGGTTTAATGTTGCTATTTTATTGCTCATTTTCCAGTTCTTTTGCATTTCCTTTGTTTCTCATCCTCTGTGTTTTGGACTACCAATTCAGCTTAATAGTTCTGTATGATGGTTTTCTTAGTTTTCTCTTTATTTATCATATGTGTCTCTGTTCTGATTATTTGTTTATTGGTTACTGTGCAGTTTGTATTAAAAATCTCATAGATAAGATAGTCCATTTTCTGATGGCCTCTTATTTCCTTAGACTAAGTCAATTCTACCCCTTTCCTCTTCCCATTCTAAGTTATTATTGTCACAACTTATTCCATATTGTGTTGTGAGTTTGTGTTTAAAGTAATGAGGTTATATTTATTTTTGGTGTTTTCCTTCCCTTAATCTTTGATGTTAAAATTAAGTGTTTGCTAACTTATTCTGATAGAGAGCTGCAATTTTTCTGATTTTGTCTACCTATTTTTCTTCATGCTCAAAGCTTTGTATCTCCTTTCTCTCTTTTTTTTTTTTTTTCAGGCATGAGGGCCTTCCTGAGCATTTCTTGTAGTGGGGGTCTTGTGGCAATGAACTCCCCCAGCTTTTGTTTATCTGGGATAGTTATTATTTCTCCATCATATTTGAAGGATATTTTTGCTGGAGAGAGTATTCTTGGATGCAAGTTTTTTTCTTTCAGAATTTTGAATATATCATTCCACTCTCTCCTAGCCTGTAAAGTTTCTGCAGAGAAATCAGCTGAAAGCCTGATAGGGATTCCTTTGTACTTATTTATTTATTTATTTATTTATTTATTTATTTATTTATTGTCTTGCTGCCCTTAATATCTTTTCTTTGTCATTGACTTTTGCCAGCTTTACTACTATATGCCTTGGAGAGGGTCTTTTCATGTTGATATATTTAGGAGCTCTATTGACTTCATTCACTTGTATTTCCAGCTCCTTCCCCAGATTTGGGAAGTTCTCAGCTATTATTTCTTTGAACAAACTCTTTTGTCCTTTTTCCTTCTCTTCTCTCTCTGGAATACCTATAATCCTTATGTTGCATTTCCTAATTGAGTCAGATATTTCTTGGAGAATTTCTTCATTTCTTTTTAGTCTTAGTTCTCTTTCTTCCTCCATCTGGAGCATTTCTGCATTTCTATCTTCAATATTGCTAATTCTTTCCACCATATTGTCAGCTCTGTTCTTTAAAGATTCCAGATTTTTCTTTATCTCCTCCATTGTTTTTTTCATCTCCAACATTTCTGATTGGTTTTTCTTTATGGTTTCAATCTCTTTTGTGAGGAAGTTCCTGATTTCATTGAACTGTATATCTGTATTTTCTTGTAATTCATTGAGCTTTTTTATGATAGCTATTTTGAATTCTCTGTCATTTAGGTTATAAATTTCTATGCCTACGGGATTGATTTCTGGGTGCTTGTCATTTTCCTTCTGATCTGGAGATTTAATATATTTTTGCACACTGCTTGAGGGCGTGGGCTTATTTTTCCTCATTCTGAAAATATCTAGTTGCAGCTTCCACCTGATGCCACTGGGTGGGGGTCAAGAGCTGTGTATTCTGAGCCTGCCGCAATCCATGGGCACTTTGGCTGACTGGCTGTGCTGGTGCTCCAGGCGGGGGCGAGGCTTTTTCTTTTGCCTACCCAATCCTGTGGGCTTCTCGCTCTTCCCTTGCTATCGGCTCTCCTGGGGCACTAGCTTGATGAAGACACTCCAGCAACAGTTCAGTCCCTTCCATATGGGAATTTCCCACAGGCTGTGAGAAAACTTGGAGAGCAATGGTTTTCTAGCAGAGGGCTGCCTCTCTGGGGGATTTTTTTGAGGAGATCAGTTTTTCCATTTCGATTTAGTTGAACAGAGAGCATATCGCCTTTAGGAGAAGTGCTAATGGCCATGGCATACCTGGAAGTGAGCAAAAGTCAGTCAGGTCAATTCAGTGTGATTTTAAGATTATCCTTGGAAGTGGTTTAATTCTCACAATCCTGTGCTAAACTAGACAGATGGAACCTTTCCATCTTTTGCATTTCCACCTCATAATCTAAATCTTCTTGAGAGCTGCAGAACAGCAACATTCTAAAGCAGGGGTCCTCCCACTGTGCACCCCAGACCAGCATCCCGCCACCTGGGAACTGAGAAATGCAAAGTCTCAAGTCTCATCCAGACCTGCTGAGTCAGAAACTCTCTGGTGGGGCCCAGCAATCTGCATTTTCACAAGTCCTCCAGATAATCCTGATGCATGCTCTAGTTTGAGAACCACTGTTCTAAAAGGCTTTGGGGCAGACACTATGAACACCCAGAAGCATTTCTCTTTGCTATTTTGCCACCTGTGTGGGTTTATATCCAGTGCAAGCTCAGCCCTGTCCCTGACAGCCCAGGCTAACTTCTGGACTCCTAGGGAATGGGCAATCCTTACCTCTCTTGGTATTGACATGTGCTGTCTTTCGTTGCTATTGAACTCTTCAGTGTGTGTCTTGCCTCCAAATTGAATTAGAATTGTCTCTGAGGTAGGCACCTTGTTTATAATAAGCATAGCCCAGTGTTATGCATACTATGTGTTCAATATATGTATCTGAATGACTTTTTAAACATATTAATTCATATTTAATAATATTATGTATTTTAATCATGTGTAGTAATTTCCCAAACATATAAATACCTGTAGCCTTCTTCCTTGGACCAAGTATTTAGGTTTGGTCATAGGTCTTGTTGACCATTTCCCTCCCTCTCAGTTTCCTTACAGATTCCAACCTATGGATTCAGTGCCTGGAACCTGCACATATAGTGGAGTGGAACATCATTTTATTTTCCATTCTCATAGCTCTCAGTGGGCTTCAAGTGATCATCTGCCTCATCAGAGTAGTCATTCAGTTATCCAAGATACTGTGTGGGACCTATTCTGTCATCATCCAGGTAACAGACCCCACTGCACCCATACCTCCTCCATTTTACCTCCACTGCCCAGGACTCAATGAGTCTTGTTGAAAGGTTTTTAGAATTCCATCATTTCTTTCCATTTCTGTTGCCCTCATCTTTACTCAAGCTCTCATATCTCAACTTTTTCATACTCCAATGTGTCTTTTGGCTTATCTATGTGGATTGAGTCAATGGAATAATTGTAAAATCTGCATTCCATGTTGAATGGTGAAAACAGCACAAGTGTTTTGAATGAGCAACATTTCAGTGTTCTAGGTAGAAATAACCCAAAGCACAAAGAAGTCTTACCATTTATTGAGAATTTCCTCATTCATATAATAATCAAAGGCTCACAACCTTATCCCACTGAAATAATTTCTCTTTTGAATTCTGCTACATCCAACTAATAATCCTTCTTTATACTAAGTCGTTAGTGAGTGGTTTTGAAGAAGAGAAATAGGTCTTTATCCTATTGAAACTACTTCTGTTTCATCTGCTAAAATACTAGTGTTAATTTAGTTACGGTTGAAACTGCTGAACCTATCCAACAAGTCCAGAGAGAAGAGATATCTTGTGTTTTGTTCTCAACATATAATGTATAATACCTCTCCTAGTAGTTTCATATAGATATTTTCCTATTCTATCATGTTTTGAATGTGAACTATAAGTTTAAGTTGCTACCTGGATTATGGATCAGTCACCAAGCCAAATGTACTACTTTACTCACTTTGTTTTTCCTTTTTTTACAGCCTGGAATCATTTGAATAAGGACAAGGATGTTTTCCATTATCAAGATGTGGCCATCTATCTGTCTCATATCTACTGTAGAGACTTGAGGGCAATATTCAAATTATCCTGCTTTCTCCATTCAGTGTTTATTGTTCCCATCTGTGAAATTTACAGTCCTCACTGGAAGTGCCAATTACATGCCCTTCCATTTAGAATTTTTTCCTAAGCAATATGTATCAAGACCTTCAGAAATCTTTATACCCTGATTAAACAAATTCATTCCCAATAATCTATACTATGGAAAGAAGTAAGAATACAAGGTAAAACTTTGTGCAAATACACATATTTCAACATTGTTTAACATTCTGGAAAGTTAGAAATACCCAAAAAGTCTAACTTTAGGGGAAGGCTTAAATAAAGAGTGGTTCATTAGTTGTAACATTACATGGTCATTACAAAGAATGTTTTGTTTTGTTTTTTTCACAAATGATATTTTAAAGATTATGAATAGTGCTACGTGAAAAACATACAAATTTATGTTTACAGTATAAGCATAACTATCTAAAACAAACAAACAAACAAAGCACCAAATAATAAAAATACAGGATAAAAACTAAATCCAGAAGAATTTACACAAAATGTCAACTGCGGTTGATTTAGATCATAGACAACCCTTCTTCCTACTTTTCTATATTTTCCAAATTTTCTTTATTATGTTTTACTATTAAAACACTTTTTAAACACTCATATTTTTACTATTAAAAAATTTTGCTATTTTTCCAAGCTTTAAAGGCATATGCTTTTTCCACGTTTTCCAATCTTGTGTATGTGTAAACGTCATAGAATAACACTTCGCTCGATGTTCAGTGAGGAAAGTAGTGAGATAGATAAGCCAAAAAAAGTTTTATATAAACTTATATAATCTAACTGAGCTCTTAGCACTATTTTCTCACTCTTGGTGGTGAATGTGGTGGCCAAAAAGAGGTAGCCATGAAATAAAGGAGCAGTTGAGGACGTGACTAATGGTTTAGATAAAGTGACCATTGACCAGTTGATACTTGCATCATGGGGAGTTACTACTACCTGTATTTATAAAAAAAAAAAAATTATAAACTTTCTACCTATACTTACCATAACACCATTGAGGATAGCAGCCATGTCTTGTATTTTCCCATCACTCATAGGGCCTAGCACAAAGTGGGCATGGTAGACACTCAATGTTGGCTATTCATGCCAGGCCCTTCTGCTCTCCATGGCTGCTCTGCTGAGCACCTGTCTCCTTCATAGACTCACTGGACCTTAACACCTCTGCCACTTCCTCATTGCTCTCCTTCGGGGGCATTGTCAACAATGATCTTCCAACACCTGCTCTGTGCCAAAGCTGGGCAGCAGTAGTCAGCAGTCTGGAGAATTTCTCTCTTTTGTGCCTGTTCACCCTACAGCCTCCTTTAAGTGAAGCTGCTCTGTCCACAACCTTTGCTGAAGCAAGCATCTTGAAAGTAAGCCACGTTGTGTACCACACGACCCCCATGCCCTGAACCTAGCTGACAGAACTGGGATGGGCACCCAAGCCATGGGCAGCCTCTTGTCACTCTAGCAGCCTCTGACTTAGCCTAGAGTGAAACACTGTCCAAACAAGATTGATGGTCATTCTTGCTTGAGAATTTGAACTAGGAAATCAAGAATGAAACAACCTAGCCATTGCTGTCAGGAAAATTATTAGAGGAGGAGGAAGGAAGCCAACATGCAGAGAGTACGTGATTACTCTATCAAGCCCACAAACTCATCATATCCAGCACCCTCTTTTTTCAGTTCTCCCAAAGACTCCTCAGTCCCCTTGTAAACAAACTTTAGCAAGTCAACCCCACCAAACTGCCAGACACTTTCAGACTCTCTCAATCGTGTTTAGATTCAATATGGTACCATACATTGAGTGGACCATGAATAGATGTCAGCTGAATGACTCCACCACAGAACTGGAAACATTGTCTAACAACAGGGGCACAGTCAAATGCAGTACAGTATATCTATCAGTAAATTAAACATTCACACAGCCACCCAAAATTTTGTATTTAAAGAGAATATGCTGTTGATGCAATTTCAAGTAAAAAAGCTGGATACAAATCTGTGTGTGCAGTTTGAGCCCAAATTTTTAAATAACCATATAATTACATGTAGACATGTACAAACCTTCAGACACAGAAAAAAGATTGGAATAATACTTAAATGCTAATAGTTAATAATTATCTCCTAATTACGGTATTATGAGTTGTATTTCTTTTCTTTACATTGTTTTACATTTTCAATTTTTCTTTGAAAATGTATTACTTGAATAATTAGAAAAAAATAAATGTCATTTATAAAGTGAGTATCCTCTAATCCTTTCTGTAAAATCCATTTAAGGAGCTTAAAATAGGAAAGAAGCAGATGTGAAGGTGTGTGTGTGATAGCCCTTTTTCTTACTCTTTTTAGAAGGTACTCCTTCCTTTTTCTACTTCTCAGAGAGACTGAGTGTTGCCAGCTACTCCTAATTGAGAATGATTCCTATTTTATGCATTTATGCTCTTATATGTGTTATTTCTCTCTTATTTGCCTTGCTTCTACTTTATTGTGCTTTTCCTGACTTCTTCAATTGAATGTCTAGCTTATTAATTTTCAACCTTTCTTCTTTTCATAAAATAAGCATTTAAGACTACATTTTTCCTTTAAGTACCACTTTGGCTGCATCTCACAAGTTTTGAAATATTGTATTTTCCTTGTTATTTAGTTAAAAATATTTTCTACTTTATGATTTATTTTTCAATCAATGAGTTTTTCAATGTGCCTTAAAATTCCCAAATATGTGAGTTTGGAGTTTTTTTAGTTGATTTCCAACTTAATTGTATTGTGATCATAGAATGTGGTCTATATGATTCTGATTCTTTGAACATTTTTAAGACTTGTTTTATAGCTAATATTTGTAAATGGTCTATGTACTTAAAAAGTATGTTTTCTCCAAATATTGGGTGCAGGATTCTATATGTGTCCATCAGGTCAAGTTGTTAATTTTGTTGTTCAGATCTTCAATATCTTTCCTTTTTGGTTGGTTGTTTGATCTAGGGTTTCAATGAGGATTACATGAATGTATATATGTATACTAATTTATATATATTTATCTGTATATATCTCAGAAAACAGTGTTTGGCACATGGATCTGATTTATGAGTGGCCTATAACATAGTGGTTTAAAGATGTAATCTGGAGACAGATTGCTCAGATTCAAATCTAGACTCTGCCTTAATAGCTGTGTGACCCTTGTCAAGTTTACTCAACCTCTCTGTGCCTCAGTTGCTGAATCTGTAAAATAGGAATAATACTAGAGTTGTGAAGATTAAGTGAGTTAGTACATCTAAAGCTCTTAGGACCAGGGTGATTTAAATCTGACCCCAGGTGCAGTTGGAGCAGATTTGGGATGGCTGAGATCTGGAAATGCCATAAACACGCAGAAGGGGAAGGAGATGGAGGAGTGTCATAGGGACAGTGTAGGTCAGAAGCTTGGGGAGAAAAAGAAGGGGGAGGTAAGAGGTAGGCATTGCTAGGCTAGACGAAGTGCAAGAGAGGCCAGCGCTTCCCCTTGTCACATGCCTGTCTGTGAACACAATAGCCATCATACTCAGGTTCCTAAAAGCCCAGCCTCTGGCTTTCCATCCCCCTGAAAAGCCACAAGGAGCAGAGCAATTCAGGGTTACTATTATGAAACCACAACTACTTATATTCAGAAAGACTCCTGCCACGTCTGCTTCCTGCTTTGTGAGAGGAAGCTGGGACTTGGGGACAAGATTCCATTCCCGGATGACCTGGGATATCTGGCAGGAAATTAAGGCAAGGAGTCAGGCTTGAGTGTGTGTACTTGGGCAGGTAGGGCAGGATACACAAACCTGGCCACTAAAATCTTTTTACTAGATGTGGTGCCTGGCTACCCAGGTCAGAGCCAACTTGTGCCTGACCCAAGGGACATAACCAATTCAAATCAAATGTTTTTCTGGTTAATATGAAAATACACACATGCACACAAATGCACATACACACACATCTAATTTCACTCCTACCTGAAACTACACTAAATTTACAATAAAGGTTTTTTTAAAGACATAAACCAACAAATAAGGGGAGGTTGGGGAGGAGACAACAGCAATAAAATTTTGGAAGTTACAAAGTCTACTAATGAGACACAACTGACAAAAACAACTCAAGAAACATGAAAATCCCAAGCTATCAGTGGGGGAAGCTGAGAGCTGACCTGATTTACATCTCAGAATCCTCAAAAGACTCCCAGATGGACAGCACCAGATACCTCTGGAACTGAAAGTAAATAAAGGAAGACCCCCAAGACGAGAAGGCTTGGGCAAGTCCCTGTATCCCTTCTCCTCTCCATATCACTGGGAAGTGGCAGACATCTGAAAGTTTATTCTCTGGAAAGGGTAAATAGAGGGTCCCTGAATTGGAGGAAACTAGATTCACTGAAGATATGGACACTGCATCAAAACCAGAGAGATTGAGCGACTGGCACATCTTGAATGATGAATGCTAAGGCACACCCACCCCCAAGCCCTCTTAACCCACTCAGATCTCAGAATGCTGATAGCCAGAATTTTACCTTCCAAGCTGGAGCCTCTTTCTACGGAGTCCGGCTAGTGCAAGAGGAAAAACTTATATATTTACTGTGGTAGGTTGAATAATAACTTGCCCTCCCAATGTCCATGTCCTAGTGCCTGGAGCCTGTGAATATGTTACCTTGAAAGGGACTTTGCAGATGTGGTTAAATTAAGGATCTTAAAATGAGGGGATTATCCTGGATTATGCAGGTGAGTCCAATGTAATCACAAGGTCATTATAAGGGGGAGGCAAGAGTATCAGATTCAGAGAGAAGATGTAAGAACAGAAACAGGAATCAGAGAGAAGCTGCTACACTGCTGGCTTTGAAGATGGAGGAGAGGGATCAATCAAGGAATGCAGGCAGCCTGTAGAAGCAGGAAAAGTCAAGGAAATGGGTTCTTGCCTAGAGCCTCCAGATGGAACTCAGGCCTGCCGAAATCTTGGTTTTAGCAGTGAAACTGATTTTGGACTTCTGCTCTCCAGAACTATAAGATAATAAATTTGTGCTGTTTTATGTCACTAAGTTTGTGGTTATCTGTCACAGTAGCAATAGGAAACTAATATAGTGATTTTCAGAATTCCTCAATAAATGGCTCACCCAGTTCACCCAACAGTGAAGTTCAGAATCAGTCAGCCTCACACATGGGCGCACACACACACGCACACACACAACGTGCACACGCACATTCAGTTTCCAATCAGCTCTTTCCTCCATTCATTATCGTGAACAGATAGATAAGGATCCCCAGACATCTGATGAAACCTCTTAAATGAAAGATAGAGACCAAAACAAATTTAAATAAAGACCAATTTGGAGGAAACAAACT